CTCGGTTGGTGGCACCAACCGGGACAAAAGGCCCTCTTACCTGGGCAAGCGGCAGCGGCCACGTGGATCCCCATCTGTTCCGGTTCCTCGGCAAACCGGAACTAAAAGGTATTGGGGTTTAGTATCGACCCTTTAATCCCAGGTCCAGAACCAGGACAAATGAGCCTCATAAACCGGGACGAATGGCCATTTTTCTACTAGTGTGAACACTAACATGTCTAAGGATTGTACTGCAACATCAACTGAACTGAAGTGATGGTAGATGGATGGATGGATGGATGGATCAGCAACTGGCGATGGGCCCGTCATCGTAGACGACAACGGTGTAGTCGTCGGCGAGGGGGTTGTGCGAGCAGAAGTGCTCGAGAGGGGGTCATGGGCGCTCTCGGCGATGCGGCGGCGGAGGTCCCCTTGTACATCCTCCTCACTGCTTGGCCAGTGCCGGCGCCGGCAGGAGGAGCCGGGGCGGAGAACATGAAGACGGTGGGTGGTGCACTGATGGTGCCATTGCCATGTCAATTGGCTACAAGACGTGCGGGCCTACGAAGAGTTTTCATCAATTACTAATCCAGCGTCTTCATCCAGTCATCCTCCGGAGCTTACGGAGAGGCCATAGTTGGCCGTTTGTCTTGCCCTTGCCAAGTCTAACAGTTCTCCACGCAGCTCTTTCTTTCATGAGAAAGATCAAAAAATACCATTCGTCCAGCGATTCTGCCAGGGGAGATAGAACTTGGAAACAGATCAGACATAAAACAAGAACCATACAGTATTTCCTAGCTGTGCTGAATACAGACGCGCCATTCCATCAGAAACCAACAATGCTTGCGGCTACAGCCGCAGCCTGCAGCTGTGCCAGGGCCAGGACTTTGAGGACTTTGACTCCAGCTATCCTGCAAACATACATGTCTATCTTTGGCTGGGCCTGGTGTACTAAGTCAGCGACAAGTAATATGGATAGGATCCGAGGGAGTAGCATAATCCTATCAGCGACGCAAGCTAAAAGTCAAACCGAGAGATGAAGGTCCTCTGAACTGCCATGCTGGTTGTCTGCACTCAATATTTCCAGGAATTACTACATGACAGATGTTTTTTCCATGCTCATGTGAATACATATCAGGCTACAAACCAACCAACCCACTGGTAATCTTGGCGGATGTCAAGGGCCTCGGTGCCCAAGACAGCAGGACCTCGACTACGTAGTTCGTAGTCGCGGTGGATAGGAGCGCTAGGGTTTTTGCCTGGCTGCTCTATGATGCGGGAGGGGAAGATAAAAGAAAATAACTTTATTGCTTATCCCTAAAGGGTGCTAACTATCTGATATATAAAGGCCCCATGGGCTAATAACAAACTAGAAACCTATACGAAATAAACTAGTCTAGGAACTAATGTGCCCGGATCAGGACTCCTGTCCAGCCTGCGCCTTGCCTGATGCGGCCGTCGGCTGCTCCTGGCCGCGCGGCCCACGTCTGTAAGACGTGCCCCACATGACAGCGGACGTGACAAAATATTAGTTAAGAAGTCTGAAACATTAGCACCAATCACAAAAGAACTAGTCGTTACCACTTCTCCGGTTCACGGTGACAGTTCACATGCTAAATACAAATACAATACATGTCGTGATCAACTGCTCGACATGCCAGTGTCCATGGCACCTAGATTTAACTCTTCATCAGAATCAATTACGTCTTCGAAATCATAGAAGGGATGCGCCTGCACACAGAAAAACAGTTTAGTTTGTTTATTTCCCATACCCCTACGGGTACCATACTAAAATGTGAACATTTTTCTATGAAGAATGGTTCATCTTACATAAAAATAATAGAATCAAAATATTATTTAAGGCATAGCTTTTCAGGACAAGGAACGAGCATATATCACATACCTTAGGCCGAGGCTTTACAGCTTGAAAAGTATGGAAATCAGGGGTGGCAAAATCAGGTGGACTGAGGACAATATATGCTCCAGAATTGTTGTAACGGTCCTCTGAAGCCTGTGCCGGAATCAGATATTGACTGTTAGACTCATAGCACACAATCTTTTCCAAGAATACAAGTCAAACACGATACGAAGTACAATTTTACACTAGTTGTAAAGTCAATCATTGCGCAAGGAACCACCTATGAAACAAGAACGAAAGTACAGCAAAACTGTCAGGCTGAACAATAAATCATGTCACAAAGTATAACCTGAAATTGTGGATAGTCTGGGGCACTGAAGAGAGTTATTAACTTTCCACATGCGACATGATGGTCGATTGTATATCCACTGTTCATTGCTAATAGATCATGCCGCTTATCTCTTGCATCTGGGCCTTCATGTGATCTGATGATTAACTTCGTTCAACGAAAAGTGGAAGTAAGTACTAATGAAAACTTCTGTAGTTTTGTGATAACACCCAGTTTCCGATGCTACGAAGGAAAATGCATGTGCTACAGCATATCAAATTCCATAAAATGCACACTGAACAGAATTTAAAGTGTATCCAATATTTATAGATATGCAGCCATCAATGTTGAACATAAACAATAAGCTAACTAGAACCATGAAGTATACAATTCAAGTTCACCAACGAGCATTCGCAGTTTTACATTCAGAAGGCTTAAAATATACTGCCTCTATCCATTAATATAAGGCCATTATAAGTCTAAATAACGTCTTATATTAATGAACAGAGGGAGTATATAATTTAAACAAACAACAATAAAGCATTTAGTCCCAAACAAGTTGGGGTAGGGTAGGGAGTATATGCTTTAGTACAAGAAAAAAACTATTGAATACAAATGCAGAGAATACACAGGAACTCCTGGGTGCTCCACACCCCTATACTAATATTAAACATAAAAAATACCAAAAAATTCAAAAAAAATATGAAATTTAGGGATATCAAGCCTGGGTTTTCAATCTAGTCCCGTGTGAAATTTCGTGAAAAAATACCAGGAAACGTATCTGTGGCGAATGAAATAATGTCCGAACAAAAATCCATCCAAACAGTTTTTTTCTATACATAGGAAACTTTTGTCTTTTTTGCCATGAATACGTTTCCTGGTATTTTTTCACAAAATTTCATACGGGAGTAGATTGGGAACCCAGGTTTGATATCCCAAAATCTCGGGTTTTTTTTCAAATTTCTCAGTATTTTTTTGAATTTAATGTTCGTATAGGGGTGTGGAGCACCCGGGTGCTACAAATCCGCTTCCATACAAATGCATGCTAACTTTAGTAATCTAGTTACAGAATTACAAGTTCTATCATATACAAGTAATCAACCATTGTAGTTAAACATCCAAATGTAAGCAAGAAATATGAGACAATACAATATTAGAAGGAACTAACTTGGCAGTGTGTTATGCATGATAAACAATAGTAGAAAAAGGGAAGCTTCATGATAATAGTTACTTGAGACAGATATGACAACATAAATCTAGCATTTTAATTTCCAAAAATGCATGTGACACTATTACTGCATATGGGATGACATCAATTAGGAATCCAGAACAGGCAAAATATTCATGCTTGATGTACCAATCGCACCTACACTGAAAAAGCAAGCGTCTACAACGTTGAAGAACGAACTTCCAAAAGGAAGAAGTACAAACAAAAAAGAAAAAGGTAAATATTGATAAAGCAAAAACAGGTAGAGGACTTAAAAGGATAATCACATGCTAGAAATTATAATTCCCTAAGCTTTAACATTCTTTAGATATATATTCAAGAATTTTATATTGCGATGTGAGGCAAACTTCTACTTTCAAGCATAAGCCTATCTAAATAACTTAATAAGAGATAATTCAGTTCATCACATAATTTAAATCGAGCATGCTACAACAATAGTAAATGAAAGAAAACAAACCTTCAGATTATTTGTATATAGAAACTGTTGAGTGATATCTGGACCCCAAAGCAAACCGATGCCCCTTTCCTTATTCAGGGAAAGACCCTTATCTAAGGAAGGATCAGACCAAAGCACATCTCCAGGAATCAAGTTTGAACCCTCATACGGGGTGTCAAGAACAGTTCTCCTCGCTTTTAACAATTCGTCCAGGGATCCAAGCTTCAAAGTAGTAGAGTCATCAGTAGGACTCGCCTTATATTTGTGACCTTTCTTTGCCCTTTTCGACCTTTTCGACGGTAGTACAACCGCCCCACGAAAAATCCCTCCATGAGCAGTATACACACATCCTGCTATTATTGATGCTAGAGGAAGATCTTCAAAACATCTTAAAAACTTCCGATAAACTTGAGCACCTTGACTTTTATATTTAACCATTACCTCCTGTTCAAAACCATATACTGACGTGCAGTACTTGGATTCATGATTTCCTCGGAGAAGAAACACACAATTTGGAAGGAATACCTGCAAGTAATGAAACAAGTTGATGACCATTAGCTGGTACTTTACATTGCTTGAAACCTTAAGGGGACCTATCATTTACCACTTTCTTTTACAAAGTGAAAAGGATAGTTAGATGTTTATGCCAAATCTTTGCTATCTCCTCAGTTGTCATGACTTCATGTAAGAGTGTTAGACTTTGTGGAAACACTACCAACCTGCAACGACAGAGTCCTTGATAGGCAATGGTGGATATTCTAATCTTAGGGACTGAGTCACAGAATTCTGTGCCAATTTCAATATGAATATACAGATCCATCACAGTGCCGAAACACACTTCTCAAGTTCAACTCAAACAAAAGGAATGAACATGTGAACAACACATTTCTATGAAGCTACTTTCTCCTCCCACAAAAATAGGTCCCTAAGTTTTCTCTTAAGTCAAACTATTTTTTTATAAAGTTTTTGTCTTAAGTCAAACATGTGAACACACTTCCCAATAGCTATTTCATGATGAATCTATTGATATTGATTTGGTATCAAGATGTTGACTTTTCTTTTTCTATAAACTAGGTCAAACTTAAAAGTTTGAGTTGAACAAAACTTAGGAGATCTATTTTTTGAGAAGGAGGGAGTAGAATTTTTATGCTGATATTCATTATGAAGCATCAATTAAAGCGAACAAACAAATAAACTAATACTCATAGAAATAAAAATGTGCAGAGTATTGGTGATGTATAACAAGCTTAAACCAGTAGGAATGTTGGCGGAAATTCACCTTCCAAGCCAGGAGGAGGAGCAAGGTCTCGAGGCCCCAAGCGCCGCGATCCACGTAATCCCCGTTAAAGACAAAGATTCGCTCCTCTGAGGGGAACCCGGCGTCCCGGAGCAGGAACATGACATCGTGGAGCTGGCCGTGGACGTCCCCCACGACGACGACGGACTGGTCGGGCCGCGGGTCGACGCGGACGATGTTGGGCTCGCGGTGGAGGATGACGGCCGCGGCGACGACGAGCCGCCGGACGAAATCCGCGGAGAGCACCGAGGGGAGCTGGTCCGGCGGCATGCTCCGCGAGCACCAGTCCAGCGCCGCGGTGAAGCTCGCCACCCAGTCCCGCGTCAGCACGCCGTCCTCGGGCCACTCGACCGGCGGGGGCTGCGCAACCGGAGAGGGGGAAG